TAGAAGACCCAGCCAAGAAGAAAAAATTATTTGAAATCTTAAATGTGAGTGTTAAAGCAGTCAGCCATGTTTCATAGATTGGGTTTGCGTTTTTTCAAAGCTCTTAAAAGAATGATTTTTGGATGCAGCTTTTGTGGAATTTGGTGTAGGTATTTAATAATAAATTGCTTTACATGCCTCAAAATTCTTTTGAGGATCAAATAAATTGTTATTTGTGAAAACATGCTGGATAGATGCAGGGTTGGGTTTTCTTTTTCTTATTATAGAAGGATATTTAAATAAGATTATTTCTAAATATTATTTTTTCTTTAAAAATTTTTTTAGTAGTTTTATATATAAAGGAGGTGCAAGGTATTTTTTGGCTATTCTGTCCTTAAGATTTTTTTTTAAGTGTTACTTGTTTAAACAGAAATTTTAAGTGGGTGATGTGTATAAGCATAATTACTTATAAACACAGTGTTAAGTTAAATATGGTTGGTATTGACTACTGAGAAGTATGTAGAACTATATTAATTATACTTAACATTTTTTAATTACTCTTGTAATACTGCAGTACTCATGAAGTGATGGAGAAATGTGAAGGGCAGTAGACTGGCTTCTGTTTGTACCTATTTTAAAGACAATACCCATTTTAACAGAATATGCCTTTTTTCATCACTACCAATATTTATAAACCTATTAATTAGCTTGTACTAATATTTTCAGAAAACTTTCCATTGTTAATTATTTAATATGAATAATTTTAAATATGTTTTTGATTTTTCAGGATAAGAAACTCTTTAAGCCTCCAGTGCTAGTGTTTGTGGACTGCAGACTAGGAGCGGATCTGTTGAGTGATGCCGTTCAGAAAATCACAGGTCTAAAAAGCACCTCTATACACTCGGAGAAGTCCCAAGTAGAAAGGAAAAGCATATTGAAGGTTTGACACTCAACGTTCTGTATTCTTCTCTTTCCTATAAATCTGTTTTGCCTCCTCCTCAAGATACCATGTTACAGCTGGTTTTAATTTAAAGCACACCCTTTCATAATGACGGTGAGAATTTCAAGTAAGCAGTGACCATCAAGTTCATTGTTCCTCTTGCTCAGGATTTTGTGTTGGGGGAGCAATAGCTTGTTCTCTAGGGATTATATGCTAAATATTAATAGATTACTAATCAGAATTCACAGTTCCTTAAATCAGGTCAGTTTGGACTGGGGCAGAGCGGTACTTCACCTTTGGAAAAGATTTGCCTGAGTAAATTAATAGAATAAATTCCATGGTGGTTGGGGATAATTTAAGCTGCATACCTTTTTCAGGTATCCTAAGATGTTTACTTATTTAAAAGGTATTGCCGGGTGTGGTGGCTCACACCACCTAGCACTCTGGGAGGCCGAGGCAGGAGGATCACTTGAGGTCAGGAGTTCGAGACCAGCCTCAGCAGGAGTGAGACTTCATCTCTACTAAAAACAGAAAAAATTAGCCTGTTGTGGTGGCACACACCTGTAGTCCCAGCTACTCGGGAGGCTGAGGCAGGAGGATCACTTGAGCCCAGGAGTTGGAGGTTGCTGTGAGCTAGGCTGACGCCGCGGCACTCTAGCCTGGGTGACAGAGCGAGACTCTGTCTCTAAAAACAAGAAAAGAAAAGGCACCACAGCTGAGACAGAGCGGGCTGTGGTGGTGCATGCCTGTACTGAGAACCTGTCTCTTAAAAAGATGTTGCGACAAAAATATTAAAGTAGGCATTGAAGAAAGAAAAGCTATGAGATTACATAAAATGAATTCTGAATAATAAATTTTGTTGCTTTACTGGAAAGGGATTACTTGATGGAGACTACGAGGTTGTCGTGAGCACGGGAGTGCTGGGCAGAGGCCTGGACCTCATCAGTGTCAAGCTGGTCGTCAATTTCGACATGCCTTCAAGTATGGACGAGTACGTCCACCAGGTACAGAGGTCTGGTGTTGCCACCATGGCGTTGTCAATGTGATGTTTAATTTAAAAACAGCAGGACATAAAACTGTTTGTTTTTGCTTTTAAAATATGTATATAAACTAAATGCTTGCTTTTAAAAGCTGTATGTATGCCTAAAGTGCATTAAATAAAAAACTGGAAGTAACCTGAAATGGTAGTTTAAAAACAGAGAGGTAGTAAAATTTTTGTTTTATTTGTTTTCTTTATGTTTTTTATTCAGTGAGCATATAATCAATGAGTTTTTATAATCAGAAAAATCCTTGTTTAAAAAGATTAAGTTGATATATATGGCCAAAATAAAATTGGTCCTTTAAAGTATTTGCTTTTTTAGGAATCTTGTCTTCATCTCTTCGTGATATCCTTATCTGTTCTCGCCTTTCACTTTTTAAAGTTTTCTTTCTTTCCTTTGCTGCGGAAGGTAACAGTAGCTTCTCTTTCTAGCAGAAATAGAGCCTGCTCTTAGCACGGTGCTATCTCGCTGACTGCTAGCTGTCTTCCTTCTGGGGAGTCACTCACAAACTCTTCAAGCAGAGCCTTTCTCCAGTGTTCCTAGGGTCATCTCTGAATGCCACTTTATCTGAATCACCCACTGAAAAGCTTTTAGTGCTTTTACTGCATTGTTGCTTTTATTTTTTACTTAGACTCAAGAATATATTCATGGCATTACTTCTATTTCTTTTTTTTTTGGTACTATCTCATTTACCTGCACAGTAGGGAATTGAATATTCCACAGGAGTTGGTTGTTTCACTTACCGTAATGTTTTTAAGGTTCACCTACAGTGTAGTATGGTACCAGTATGTCTTTTTTTAATGGCCAAATAATATTTCATTGTATGGATATACCACCTTTGTTTATCCACTAATTTTTAGACATTTTGGTTGTTTCTACTTTTTGGCTACTGTGAATAATGGTGCCATGAACATCCGTGTACAGGTTTTTGTGCGGATGTTTTCATCTCTGTTGGGCATGTCCCTAAGAGCGGAATTGCTGGGTCATATGGTAACTCTGTGTTTGACATTTTGAGGAACTGCCAGACCGTTTTCCAAAATAGCTTCACTGCTTTATGAGTGTTCCAGGTTCTCTACTCATTGACATTTATCTGTCTTTTTGACTATAGCTACGCTAGAGGATGTGAAATTATACCTCCTTGTATTTTGTTTGCATTTCTCTAATGATGCTGAATATCATTTCATGTACTTATTGGTCATTTTTATATCTTCTTTGGAGAAGCCTTTGCCCATTTTTTAATTGAGGCACCTTTATTATTGAGTTGTAAAAGTTCTTTGTATACTATGGAAGACTCTTATTAGATCCTTGATTTGCAAATATTTTCTCCCATTCTGTGGGTTGAACCTACTTTTTGCATTAATTTTTATTTTTATTGTAACAATCCAGGAGTATAATTAAACAAATCAGGTAAAAATAGAAGCTGATACTGGAAACAGCATTCACAGTACTCACTCCTCCACGTTCTCATTCCCTGGAGGCCACCTCTTTCAACTTTTTTAGAGACTTCTTTTGCTACAATGTGATAAATGCCCTGTATGTTAGCAGGAACAATCTGTTCATTGAAATATTTCTGTATACAGACTTTTTAAAGTTTTACATTTCACTTAAGGAGCAGTAATTGACCATGATTATGTATTTTCCTCATCTTCTGAAGAGCTTCTCAGTACATTTTCATTATATATTTGGAAACAAGTAGATTTTATGCCTTATTATGGGTACTCCATCACAAATTTGTATCCATTTAATTCTGTCAAAATGAGAAATAGGCTGGGTAATGGTGGCTCACACCTGTAATCCTAGTGGTTTGGGAGGCTGAGGGGGGAGAATCACTTGAGGCCAAGAATTGGAGACCAGCCTGGGCAACATGGCAACATAGCAAGATCTAGTCTCTGCAAAAAACAGAAAAATTAGCTGGCTGTGTTGGCATGCCTATAATCCCAGCTACTTGGGAGGCTGAGGCAAGAGGATCACTTGAGCCCAGGAATTTGAGGTTGCTGTGAGCTAGGCTGATGCCACGGCACTCTAGCCCAGGTGACAGATTGAGACCCTGTTTCAAAGAAAAGAAAAAGGCTTCTTAAGTATTCTAAAGTATTATAGTCTTCTTGCTCTTAATGCAGGGGCTTTCAAAAATTTTTGACCTTAACCCACCCACAATAGGAAACATTTTTGTCATTATACACCCCCTCACACACACATACAGGTATAACCAAAACACAAGTGTCACAGCAATACTTACTTTTATTATATGTGATCACTTATTTTCTTTTTGGGTCATTTTATTAAAAATATGCTGGTGGCAACCGACTACATTGATTTCACAAAGATGTTGAGATGCACAGTTTAAAAAATGATATTTGAATGAAGGTTAATTTTAGTAAAGCTTTAAATAATAGTCTTCATTTTCTTTCAGGAGACATTAAGATTTTATATGAACGTTTTAAAGATGTCCTTTGCATTTCATTTCAGGTTGGAAGAGTGGGGAGATTAGGTCAAAATGGAACGGCGATTACTTTCATCAATAATAATTCAAAAAGACTCTTCTGGGATATTGCAAAAAGAGTAAAACCCACAGGATCCATTCTTCCCCCGCAGTTATTAAATTCCCCTTATCTTCATGACCAGAAGAGAAAAGAACAACAGAAAGATAAACAGACACAGAAAGATCTGGTGACAGGAGCTAATCTTATGGACATTATTAGAAAACATGATAAAAGTAATTCTCAAAAATGATTTGTTGTGCTACTCTGGACAATTTTTTGTGTGTGTATAGTTGGCAAAATTTCTGTAAATTATTACTGTATAGTTTGAGTAAATAGAAATGTACATGAAAAAGTCTTTAAGGTATGATTTTTAAAAAATTTATTAACATTTATACAGGAATAATGTATTTATTTCCCTTCTTAATTCTCATAAATTAAATACAACATCAGAAAATGAATTGTTAAATAAAATAAACTTTTTTCTCCCCTGGACAAAGCTTTTTTTTTTTTTTTTTTTAATAAATAGTCCTGAGAGCTACTGTCAGAACCAGAAGCCTCCACGGCAGAGCGTGACTCAGAATGGTGAGTCTTTGCTTCCTGTCACCACAGTGCACCGCACGCTGGCACTCAAATTATTGCTGAATGCGTGAATGTTAGGAAACCAGTAAATGATGAAAACTTGGAAGACATTTTCAGAACTACTTCTGGAAGATAAATGTGAAACGTCTATTTTTATTCTCAGTTGTTTCCCCTTCAGCTTGGTTAACAAATTATTTTTCACATTTAATACCGGCTGCTTACCAAAAGAACGTCGAGTTATGCTAATGCTGCTTTGCTAATGTAACTAGTCGTTTTAAACACGGGAAGAAAGGATAAGTGTTTGGCTTTGCTACTACATCTATATTTTCATTTCTTTGAACGCTGTTAGCGTCAAATGAGTTGGGGGAATTTAGATAGTATGTTAGTTACACAAATGTTGACAGTTAAACAAGCTTTGTAGCCTCAGCACCCTCCACTGAGGGTGTGGGAGGGATTGAGCTAAGGAACAGGAGTTCCTGTGTAGGAGTTTCTTAGTGCGCTCTCCACCCAGAGCAAAGAAGGGGGTCAGAAATGCCACAAAGAGCGTATGAACCCTCAGGACTCTGGCTCGCTCTCTGTGCCTTACATCGTTGAGTGGTGAGTATGTTTGATTGCAGGGGAACTAGGGCGCGGCAACTGTGGAGGTCCAGCCTGCTGTGGCAAAGGGGCATTGGGAGGCTGAACTCAAAAGCATTAGCGCAGTGCTTATTGTACGCTATGCGCCTTAGAAGCGTTACTGGCAAGTACTACCGAAAAACACAGTTTTGGGGTTTTTTAATATAGTTTAAAAACTTTGGTTAGTTTGAGTCCAGTTAAAAAAAAAAAAAAGTGGTATGGCCAGAAAAATAAGATAGCTTTGGGAACCTGAATGTATAGGAGACTATATTTAAGCAAAACTAAATAATACTAGGTTATAACGTAACCTCACCAGTTAGATTGATTTGCTGGCAGTCTGGCTTCTGTTCCCTGCACCATGCTCACACTGGTCTTGCAGTGAGTGGTCTCTTGACCTTCTTAGAACCACGTGTTCTGCCAGCGCTCGCTTTAGGTTTCTCTATCGCATTGGGCGGCAGCAGGTGAAGGAGATAGTGGTGAGGGAAGGAGCCCCTAACTCACAGGCTCCTTGTGAGAATTAAGTGCAATTGCATATGTGAAGCACCTGCTAGGGTAGAAGCCAAGTATTAGCACCCTTCCTCCCTGTTTCCTTCTCACTCCACAGTCTTCCAGCTCCTCTAACTGGTTCTTCCTGCGCCTCTCTTTTTTTCTTTTTGAGACAGAGTCTCACTCTGTTGCCCAGGCTAAAGTGAGTGCTGTGGCGTTAGCCTAGCTCACAGCAACCTCAGACTCCTGGTCTCAAGCCATCCTCCTGCCTCAGCCTGCTGAGTAGCTGGGACTACAGGCGTGCGCCACCACCCCCGGCTAATTTTTTCTATATATTTTTAGTTGTCTCAATAATTTCTTTCTATTATTAGTAGAGACAGGTCTCACTCTTCTGAAATAGCTTTTTGATTGTTTATTGCCAGATTGAAGCAAACATCTTTTATGTATCAAACATCTTAATTATAAGTGTATTTTTTTTTTAACCAATGAAAGTGTATGTTTTGCTGAAATAAGTGTATTTTTATTCTGGAATAATCTTTGCCACTTTATAAGATATTTTTAATGTTATTAGTATTCCCAATACCAATCAAATTTTTTTTTTTTTTTGAGACAGAGTCTCGCTTTGTTGCCTAGGCTAGAGTGCGTGCCGTGGCGTTAGCCTAGCTCACAGCAACCTCAAACTCCTGGGTTCAAGCAAGCCTCCTGCCTCAGCCTCCCAGGTAGCTGGGACTACAGGCATGCGCCACCCATGCCCGGCTCATTTTTCTGATATATTTAGTTGGCCAATTAATTTCTTTCTATTTATGTAGAGACAGATCTCGCTCTTGCTCAGGCTGGTTTCGAACTCCTGACCTCGAGCAATCCGCCCCGCCCGCCTCCCAGAGAGCTAGGATTACAGGCGTGAGCCACCTCGCCCGGCCCAATCACATTTTTTAAATCAAATTTTTTTTAACTATTCAAGTGGTTTTTTTGTGTGTGTTTTTGTAACATCTTTACAAAGAACATTGCCGCATATTTAAACTATGACTCACAGATGGATTTAATACATCTAAGCTGGCTCTACGAACTGTCAGACTTTCTGATAAAACTACACTATTGTCTTCAGGCAACTGAATATTATTCAGATTGTGTCCCTTCTGTGGAATTTGCATCAGTCACCTCTTACTGCCTTGTTAACACAGTCTACTCACCACAGTCGATACAAAATGGGCTCCCTAAAGGTAGGGATGGTACGAGAGGTAATGTCATCAAAGGTGACTTTCCTAGCAGCTGCAAGTAAACCGACTCCAGACAGAGAGGGCTCTTGTTTCCTCCAAGGCATCCTTCCAATGACCTCAGAGGCTCTAGGGCCAGAGTGTGAAAACCAACCAATGACAATTAAGTAAACACAGTTCTCTGGTTCTGCTGTTAGTATGAGAATCTATTTTATAGTTACATTTTATAATGTGTGGTGTTAGTGGACAGCATTACAAGTCAAGCAGACAAGTGTTTTACTTTTGCAATATGTGTATACAAATGTGTAAAATGTTCACAAACAGTAATTCTTAAAAAGAATTTTAGCTTTGAAAAAGTTGCACATCACCTTTGCTTTTCTCTCACTTCATCTCAGAAAGATGAAGACTTGGCAGAGCTGTTTGCAAATAACTGGGTTCCAGTTACAGCCCCACCAGTTTCTGATTAGGGCGAATTAATTACTACTCTGTAGCTTTGCTCATCTGTAAAGTGGGCTGAAGTTTCTCCGAGGTCTTCCCAAATCTACATTTTCTGTGCTTCGTACTTTCCAATCCCTGTCTCCATGTCTGGAGTTTGCTTTACAGCGATACAGGTTGGAGAGTATAAGTGAAACAAGATTGGCCAAGAGTTGAAAATTATTGAAATCCAGTGATGGGCACACAGAATTGCTATTTGGTTTACATTTAATGTATTTGAAATATTCCATTATAAAAACTTTTACACATATATAATCTCCAATCCCATCGGTTCGTTTGTGCCCTAGATACGTATCTTCAACTTTCCCCTGAACTTTTTGGCTTGAATTCAGCTCTAAAGCCAAAGTTATCATCTTCCTTACAGAAAGCCTGATTCCACCCTTCTAACTTCTCTCTTGCCAACGGCGCTACCAGCTCTCATTGTTGACTCCTTTCTCTCCCTAATCTCCATATTTGCTTAGACAACAAGTCCTACCTCTTTTTCTTTCAAAATGCTCACATTTTATGCTGGCACTGAAGTTCAAGACTCTGTCATCACAACCTGAATTATGTTAGCAGCCTCTGGGTTTGCCGTTCTAATTCGAGGTCTCCTTGCCTCTCAGCCTCCCTCCAGTCCAAGGCAGGAGAATATTTTTAGAGTATAATTTCACTACAGTAAATCCTCAATGTCCTCGATAGGTTCTTGGAAACTGTTGAGTTTAAGCAAAGTGATGTATAACAACACCAATTTTGCCACGGGCTGGTTGATAGAAACAAGGGTTAAGTTCCTATGACATATTTCTGGTCACAAAAGCATTACCAAACTTCTAAATAAAAACCCAAACACCTCTGATGTTAAACATTAAAATAAAGGTGAGCTGTACAGACATTTAAGAAAGATGAATGAAAACAAGTGAGATAATTACTTACCCAATAATTCCGGTTCAGGGTGGGAGGTGGCTGTCAGCCCATCCCAGCAGCTGAGGGGAAAAGGCGGGAACCCACCCCGGACAGGATGGCATCCTGTCGCAGGGAGCACACACAGATACACGCACGCACACAGACACACCCTCGTTCACTCACGCTAGGACCACTCAGGTGACCTAACCAGCGCATGGCTGGGACGATGCCAGAGGAAACCAGAGCCCCTGGAGAAGACCCCTGCAGGCCTGGGGAGAACACGCAAACTGCACACAGACGGGGCCCCAGGCTGGGCATCCATCAACACCACAACGAAACAGCGTCATTCCAGGATCTGCCGTACTTTGATGTCTCCTTACTCAGAACCCCTCAGCAACGCCCTGTTGACAGCTCCGCCATCAGACCTGAGTTCTGGCTGGTGTCCGAGTCCCTCCTTCCTCTGAGCCCACTTTCCAGCTGTCTCCCCGCTGCTCTCTTGCTGGGACCATCCGCGTGGCCCTCCCTGCCGGTCAGAGCCGCACAGGACGTCGCCGCTGACGGACCGGGCGGTTCATCAGCGCGCCTGCGAACACACTCACAGTACAATAATTAACCGCTGGCAGTCAGGACCTGGTGTGCCGCTGAGGAGCTCTCAGACTCCCAACACGACTAAAGGAAAACAAAGAATCTGCTAATGGAAGGACAGTTTTAATTAGGGACGGATTGTTTTTAACATTTTTTTTTTTCCTATTTAGAACCCTGGTGACATTTGCATTGGAATTACAGAGGATCTTAAGTGCTGGGGTTCGGGGAAATAGGAGCAAAGTGAACTCTGAAAGTAGAGCGGCATTCGAGAACTGGCAAAGCTGCTACAATGTATGAGTTAGCAACTGAGTGCATTGCACTAAATGTAGTGCTTTAGGGAAAGGAAATTAGGGCGTTTATAAATAATTGTGAATTTTTGGAGACATTTCACATAATTAGAACAGTTTATCACTTTTATGAATGCAAAAGTATAAAAATGCAGAAAATTTTTATCCCTGTGAGAACAGATAGTTAAATTTTATGCAGAACAGAATCAGCGATGTGAATGATTGAAAGAAGATTTCTACAGGAATGCAGCATTTCTGTGTGACTTCATGTCAGTCAAATCAAAATAACTTGAATATATTTTTGCAAGGTAAAACTAAGTCTGTATAGGATGTGTGGCAAAAAAATCCAAGCATTTTGGAAAATAGCTATCTTTTTTCAAAACATTTCTTCAAAAGGAAATTTCGGATGAACATTCTTCCCCAGTTAGCAAAGATCAGTGATGAGCAAGATGACAAACGGGAATCCTTTGAAGAATACTCGGCTGCCGTAGACCTATTGGAGAATACAGCGAAAGGTCCACTGACCTTGAGAATCGTGACATCACGTTGAAATTAGCACTTCAGTCTCACCTAGTTGATATCACCAAGGCACCTAAAGAACTACAGATGGAACTGATGGAGCTCTCAGCAGATGACATTTTAAAGTCATTGTTTGATGCTAAGAAAGATCCAATTGAAATATGGAAAGATGCAGAGTACCCACGCCTTCAGCAACCTGCCCAAAAAATGCTTTCTTGCTTTTCAACCACTCATTGCTGCGAATCGACATTCTCCTACCTAACCCAAATCAAGACGTCCTTGAGGTCACAAATGACTGACACCCATCTAGAAGATCAACTGAAACCGGACCTCCACGCTGCGACCAGTCACATGCTTTCCAACAAAAAGCAGACACGACGAAGTCATCAATAGGTTAGTTAACTTTAAAATTAACAAATAGTTTTCATTTTTTGAAATTATTAAATACATAGTAGTTATTTTTTAAAAAAATAATATACATTTCTAAGTATATCTAACTGAAGTTACTTGAATGAGG